ACATAACATGGCTGTAGGATATCATGTGCGATGGTAGGCTATGCTATGCTATGCTTGGCTATGGTACGAATAGACGCAGTCACAGTACAATATGATGCAGCAACAACATTTAGCACTCGCACTCGGCATAGCAGGCGAGGTGTGGGGTGAACACAGTGCTATAGTACAGTGTACCATGCTAACACAAACACTATGTGATAGAAAATGCTACTCTGTACTCTATTACAATATGGAAAAATATCATAACATGTAATACAATAGAAGACGACTTTACATTTCAAATCTATACAGCGCTATATGTGTAAAATGCGTCTTTTTAAAAGTTGCAATACAAAACACATTCATGTTATAAAACATAGTTTGCAAAATGATACAGCATACAGCTTAGCATGTAGAGACCAACACGTAATTCAGAATGCAATGGAATATATGAGGCGATAGCAAAAATAATAAAAACCATCGTGCAGAACATGCGGTGTATGTAGGTATTTCAGTTTCATGTAATATACATGTAAACACGTATGTAATTAAACATGTATGTATATATGTACAGATGTATATATGCATGTATATATATATATACACATATATATATACACATGCACATATGTATGCATGCATACGTATGTATAAGACTACATTGCGGAGATACGCCGAACAATACAGCACAGTCTTTGTACCGTGACATCCAACATAAAATAATCTGAGGGGCCTTGATAACAATTAGAATGGGGTTCTGGGGCCCATTATAGTAGTATTGGCTCTTTACTATCACAGCCAAACCATGCTTCGCCGCCTGAGCGCAAGACGCTCATACTGCTTCATACTTGCAGACGCGATGGTTTCTTTGCTGACTGTACAAGTCTGAGGAGTGGGATAGGAATACCACGAAACAGTCCCGATATGACCAATCATGCCGCACCGCCTCATATTCCGTGAATGTATCGAATAGACGCTAGAGCTTCCAAAGGACGTGCTGTTGCTCTGCGCCCATCGGATGTGGGGACGAACCTCAGCGGCCGCCGCTGTGATGAGACAGGCGAGGGCCTCAGCGGTTTCAACAGTCTGGAAAGCGGAAACCATAAGCAACATAGAGCCTGACAATTTAAGGTGTGTTTCGGGTTTCTGTAAACGGGTGCTGCAATGGGGCACAGGGTTCTGCATTTTGGGCGGTCTACGAGGCGGGCCTTAGCAACTACACCAAAACTATGGGAACCACGGTGATATAGGGACTACCAAGCGGGAACCTATCAGCAACTACGCCTCTCTAATTAGCGTTGGTGTCACGGGTTTTCCTTTCTAAACGGCTCTATACTACACGGTTTTGTAAGACATCTAAAAAGAGCTCTGTATAGGTTCAAGGTTTGTGGGCGTTGTAAACTTTTGGGGGTTCAACAGTTTGAGGATGTGGGAATTTCTGGTTGTAATTCAGTCAACCTTTTTGCGCTCCGGAGCGTGCATGTCGGGTGCACAAACTTCTCCGGTCGCAGGTCGGATGAGTAAATCGTGAAGGGTCACATACTGCAGCTCAGCAGCCAAAAATTCCCAAGGCGCCTTCCTCCAGCACGTGCCATGGCAATTTGTCCGCATGGTTACAAAAGGTGCATCACAGTTTCGATTGGAACAGGTTTGGCTAGCTGCGCTCGGCTCGATGCCTCCGATTCTTGCATCCGTCCAAGACCCAGTCGTATTCCGCAGCTGAGGATCGGCATGGATGATGGCTTTTGTCGCGTTGTTTCTGGGTGAGCCCTCCCTGGTTGGACAGATGTTTGCTGACCTGTCTGTGCAAAGGCCCGTGAACAACATTGGCTTCGAAGAGGAGTACCAGATTGATTGCGTTGAAACCGGGTGACCTCAAAGCCCAGAAGTCTGCCTATCTCGAAAGAGAATCAAAGCATGCACGGAAGGTCGCAAGCGACAACGCCCTTCAGCATCAATACCATAAGTTGCCTTCTACACAGGCTGTCGATACAGCTTGACAGTCGGGAAAGAATGCATGCAGCAAAAGCCACCCATCGCTTGATACATGTAGCATAAGATAGATTTCAACAGGCAGATTAAACATTGCAACCAATGGAACAAGGTTTTGGTCAAGCTTTCGTGTCTATTATTCTAGATAAGTATACTTGTCAGGTAGTCCTGGTATTGTGGCTATTCAGGCTTCTATGTTAGGTTGCACTGGTGTCGAAGAGATCAAGGGTCCAGGCTGCTTCAACCACTGCGCAGGCTTAAAACTTTGCGGATGTCGAGACCTGGAAAGCCATCTGAATCTTCAAGCACATATAAGACCTTGCTACCTCGAATGCTTTTTGCGAGGCTGCTTTGCTAGCCTCCACGCACCACCGGCCAGTGTGACCAAGTCGGGGCCACGCCCAACGCAATCACTTCGTTTGCAGGATTAGTCTCTTCCGGGCCTTCTGCGACATGCTTCCATCGGGTGGAAATGGAAGATGGAACTCTGCATGATCCAGACGAATACAACTAGACCAGCGAAGCATAGAAAGGCCTCAATAAGTACTCCTTTGTAACTCTACGAGACTAGAATCGACTGAGCTATTGTATGATGTCCTACAACATGACATGTGATACTACAATACCACATTCTGACACATAACAACAACCAACTACTGCCTTTACTGCCACTACTAATACCAGCACTACTACTACTACTACTACTACTACTACTACTACTACTACTACTACTACTACTACTACTACTACTACTACTACGACTGCGACTACGACAACGACTACGACTACGACTACGACTACGACTACTACTACTACTACTGCTGCTACTGCTACTGCTACTGCTACTGCTACTGCTACTGCTACTTCTACTGCTACTGCTACTGCTACTGCTACTGCCACTGCTACTGCTACTGCTACTGCTACTGCTGCTACTACTGCTACTACTGCTACTACTGCTACTACTGCTACTACTGCTACTGCTGCTACTGCTGCTACTGCTGCTACTGCTACTACTACTACTACTACTACTACTACTACTGCTGCTACTACTACTACTACTACTACTGCTGCTATTATTATCGTTACTATTATTATTATTATTGTTACTACTACTGCTGCTGCTACTACTACTGATACTATCAGTACTGCGAGTACTACTAATATTCATACTGCTCCACTCCGACATCCAGAAACCAGGCAGGCTGCCGAAGACTTCACTCCACAGCCAGTGGATATGCAGACGCCGAGGAGCTGCAGGCAAAGGGCAACCGCTCTATACTATACCGAACTTGAATCGTAACTTGGGATCCTAGCAAAATTAGAATTTGGGCTGTTTCTCAGTGGAAATAATAAGCAAAGATTATAATTAAGAATTTTTCTAAGCCCCCCTAAGCATATTTCATGAAGGGTGTCCATGGTTGTGAGGCTATGCCCTACTCGCAGAAACGCGATGCTCTGTATATCCATGCCAGATCAATCTAAAGCGCAATGAAGATTGAGTGTCCCAGCGTGGATAATCTGTACGTACGTGGCATACCCTCCATGTATTTGCAGTCACATGTAGTGTACTTTCCTCTCTGGCAGCCCTGCAAACTGCCGCAATGGCCTGCAAGCATATAACTTGCAGGGGACTGGTATATGCATGAATCACCTTTGTGAATACATCTTACAAGTACAGACATCCACATGCACACTTCACCCGCGCAAATGCCATGCAACATGCCATGCTGCGATGCGGTGGATGCATCATCTGTAGCTACATTCCTACTCCTGGCACCTGAAGATACATCGAAGCAGCTTTGGCAGCAACAAGGTGCTGTTGACTGGTTTGATACTCGAAGTGCCGTCTTACTGGGCAAGGCACAGATCACCGTTTGATGCTTTTTCTTCAGCAGTTACACCTTGATTGGGAATTGACCGTACATTACACTCTGTTTTTTTTGCGGCATTGTGTCTTGTACGCAACGGCAAGGCAAACAGCTAAATCCCAGGACATTGCAGTACGACTCACGTGTGTTAGCCGTGGCTAGCAGCTATATATGTGTATCTAATTACATGTATATCTGCATGTGCCTAACCGCTTTCTCACCGACAAAGAGAGACTTTAACACATATGCCTGTATACATGAACACATGCAAAAAACACAAACACATATACACACGTGAAAATACATTATTGAATACAAACGTCGTGCATGAATGCGTGCGCACACAAGCACAGAGATGCACCATACTTTGCCATACCACACCATAACAATACATGTGGAATTGCAACGGCAATTTGCTGCAATAAAACATTTGTATTAAAAAGCACAGCAAACATAGCACAACGTAACACAGATCTTGCACATTACAGAATTACCTTGTGTGAGTGGTATACCGTTTTCTCACATATAGACGCACATGCATGCATGCATGCAGGTCGTTTCGCCGGCAGCTCAACGGCAAAGAGCCCTTGAGAAAGCCCTTGGCCCTCACCTGAAAGGTACGAGGCATGAATTCAGAAAGCTGCAGGTGCCTCTATCCGGCACAGAGGGACTTGGCGAATCGAAGAAAGGCACCGTGCAGAGACAGCAAGTAGTCGACATGCCACGTATTAGTTACATGCTCAGACACGGCGATACTCATTATATGCTATATACTACTTGCTGAATGCACAGTCTGAGCTGGGAGTATGTTGGAGCATGGGCAGGAAGACAGGAGATGACACAAGCGTTTGACATTTTGCACCCGGTATCGGTCCTATCGCTTAGCTGATTGTAAGCGTTCGCCAAGACGCAGACAGATTCGCAGGCGGACTCTGCTAGTTCATGGACCAGCAGCGCACGCCGGAATCAGCTTTCAAAACCTGATAGTTGTGCATTCTTCGCGAGCCTGGATGTGAAAAACCGGCGCAGGTTGTCAACGAACAGACTCATTAGACATTCTTGCCAACCCAACTTTCGGGTTTGAATCCTCATACAAGTCCCCTAAACAGAATAGTCGGACAGCCGCGCTTGACCTGTATCTGGCTTTTGCCAAACACGAAACTACTTCAGAGGTGTCGGGCATTCTGGACTCGTTTCCCAGAGCTTCCTCGGATCCGCTTGCGAAGGCATGTTGAAGTGGAGGCTAAAAAACCTCCAGGCTTTTTTAGGCGTTTAGACAGTCTAGTCAGTCCTTGTGTCACACGCAACTCGCGCGCTTATCGTAGCACAGCATGTCAGCTTGTTAGCAACAAGCTTTATCTGATGGTTGCACTGTTCTTGCCATGCCTGTGTCGGCGACTTACGAGTACGGGGTGGCCTACCCGCTTCACTCAGTTGCCTGGCTCCTCTGCCGAAGCCTTCCACCCGCCCAAATCTGCACTGCGACGTACACTCTTAGTCTTACACCAGGACATTGACAAACATGCGCGAAGAATGTTGCATAAAAGCCTCTGCAAATGAGGTCCTTCCAACCCAAACCTCAAGAATGCAAGACCGCACGGCACGACATCTTGGAAGCAACTTCCCGCCTCCAGCAATCAGATGGGCTACTTTGGGTGGCAGTTCTGATATTGGGTGATATATTGCAGTACTGTACCATCTGGATGGATGCTTTCTGCACCCTAAACCTGATTCCTGTTGCCTTCTTCCATGAAGATGCTCCCTCCGTACTAGACCTTGACCGTTTTCGCTCTACAACAACCAGGAAGCCAGTCCTACGATGCCTCGCCTGCGTAACCCAACGCCGTATCCCAAACTCGGAAAGCTTTCGAAGCTAAAACACCCCGAACTTTCAACCCCCGATTCCTGAAGCCGGAATCCCCCTATATACCTGAACAGCTGCTCTTCAAACCTCAACCCCTAAACCCCCAAAAGCCATCCAAAAGCCCCCAAAAGCCCATCCAAAAGCCCCCCCAAACCCTCCCCCAAACTGTCCAAGACCGCATAGATAGGGCCCTAGACCCCTTAAGGACCCCACAATCAGGTCGCTGGAGGCACACTTGGAGGGTCGGGGGACTTAGTAAGTAGGTAGTAAGTAGACTTATAAGTACCCTAAAAGGGACCCTAATTCGGGTTATGGTACTTATATAAGTCCTTAAAATAACCAGATACTATAAGTCCCCCGACCCTCCAAGTAGGGTCCTGCAGTCCAGGAGTCACTGTCCGAACCTCGCAATCAAAAGCGCCAGGCCGTAGCTCCGCAACGGTGTGCCTTTGCTTCGGTCGGAACGGAACCTAAAGTCTCCATTGGGTTTAGGGGTTTAGGGTTTAGGGGTTTAGGGTTTAGGGGTTTAGGGTTTAAGGGTCGGAACATTGTAGTTCCTTTTTGGGGTTACCTTTTGGGATCCTTAATATATAATTGGGTAAACCAGAAAGAGGAACTACAATGGAGACTATAGGAATATTACCTAAATATACAGACTAGAATAGGAAAGAGCAGAGCAGAATCGAATAGATCAGAATAGAATCTTATGAAATATGTATGTATGTATATATAGGTATGTGTATATATATATATATGAAGTATTCAAGTTCAGAGTCCCATGTGTAGGGTCCGACATCCCACGTCCCCCAATCACTGAAAGATCGGGGCTCGGGTTAAGTCGGCGGCTTTGTAAGCACTTCCTACTGACCCAGAGAGCCCAATATCCCTTAATTCAGGAATATAGCTTAAATCATATTATGCGCCCCCTTATAATGTAAGGTATATTCCTTAATTAAGGGGTATTGGGCTCTCTGGGGACCCGACTTCTTAAGGCTCAAAGGCGCAGGCCGGTTTCAGGGTCCTTTTCGGATGAGTCTCACAGGGAAGGGCCGGTTTCAGGGTTCCTTTCGGATTCCCCGAGAAGAGCAGCTAACTATTGAGCAGTCATCGCCGTCCGGGCTTGGTGAAGGTAGCACAGGGTATTCTGTCCCATGATAACCAGGGTTTGACGCCTCGATTCGATGGTGCGCACCGTCATGGGCTCCTATCCAAAGGGTCCAAGTATCATTACGGTATATACTTAGACGCCCATTAAATACCCTATAACTATATACCATAATGATACCTGGACCCTTTGGGCTATCTGCTTCGGCGTTTCACACAGACTAACTTTGGGCACGACATTGCAAACCTTCTCTGCACACAAAGGTTTGAGGCTTTCGGATGCGCTTTGACACCTCGAGCTTTGAGGTGCAACACAGTCGGAGAGCCAACTGAGGGCATGGGAAGAACTTGTGTGAGTTGGGAGTTTCCGAAAATTAGGGTACTGTATGTTGGGGTCCTTATGTAAGGATCCTATTATTTAGGGTACTATATTAGGGTCCCCTATTTTCGGAAACTCTCAGTTAGGGGTTAGCAGCTTAGCAAATCCGGAAGAGCTGCATGTCCATCTCCAAGAACGGGATTTCCTGGCAGCTGAGAGCAAGGCTTGAATAAAATTCTGTGCCCCGAAGTCCACAAGGAAGGTCGTCGGTTGCATCATAAAAGACGACGGCGGCGACTACTGCTGCTACGACCACCACCACTGCTACTGCGATGAGCTCCTGCCACAGCTTGCCGAGTGCAACTGATGCTTAGTGATGGGATGAACCAACCCTCGCCTGGCCCTGGGCTTTAGGGTTTAGGGTTTAGAAAAACCCTAAACCTAGGGTTTAGGGTTTAGAGAAACCCTAAACCCTGAACCCTGAACCCTAAATCCTAAACCCTAAACCCCTTCGCAGCTCAAAGCGCGTAGCAAAAGGAGGCCCAGAGCCGACATGGCACTTCCTAGCCAGAAAGCCTGAAGTTCTCAAGGGGGCTGCTTTGGGTACGGCCCCCGTACAGTAACAGTCTATAATAGGGCTACTATTAAGGGCCTTATATATATATATATATATACATATATATATATATATATATATATATTAGGAATATTATCCAACTGTTACTGAGTGGGGGCCGTACCCAAGGGCTGCTTTTAGTGAAGACTTGGGTAGCTCATTATCATGACGCACACGAGTTTTCACTTCGAGCTCTGTGCAGGAGTCCCCTAACTCCTGCAAATTTTCTGCAAGCCCCAAATTTCCCGACTGCTCGTAATGTGGGAAGCTGATTAAGAAACCTTGGGCCTTTATTAGGGTTCCTTATATGAATCCTACTACTTGGCGGGTTATAGACCCAGGGTTTCTTAATCAGGTTCCTACATGAGTCCCGACCTCCATGGGCGTTCCGGTGAAGTACGCGTACAAACACCTCTGCACGGCCAAGTGCGAGATGACCTCGGAAGAAGACTCGACTTGTATTTTCAGGGTCTAGCGTTTAGGGTCATGCCCATATGGATTATGGTATCCCAAAAACTTTAAGGGCTACCAACTCTGCTAACTCAGTGTTCAGGGACTTGGATTTATAGGATTTGCCGTTTAGGGAACATCTTTATACCAGTCAGGCAGGAAGTTCGGTGCAGTGATAGCTGGCTGGATGGATGGATGGCCAGGCACGCAGGCAATTCGATCGATGGAAGCGAGAGAAAACAAATTTTAGCGCGGAGCATAAGTAAGTTCTCGACGCTTATTTGGCAGATGATATGCATTGACGCAGTGACATCACCACACGCCTGTTCATAATAAGCTGGATACTCATGGCATTGACTTGTTACCATCGACCTCTGAGTCATCATACGCGCATCCATCACCATCGCCATCGGAGCCCCACCTTTTTAAATTGTATCAGTTATCAGGACAGATCCCGGAGTGTACAGGTGCTACAAAATCACGCTCGGTATTACCATTCGCACCATCCATGGGTTTCCGGTCTGTAGGGCTTTGCAATTGAGAGGCAGTGGGCGTAAAAGGTTTAGCAGCCACCTTCGTGGCACCTCTTTGGGAGTTTCCGAAAACAAGGAACCCTAGTATAGTACCCTAAATAGTAGGATCCCTATGACAGGGACCCCAATATCAGGTACCCCTAATTTTCGGAAACTCCCATTTTGCAAGCAGTCCACTTGTGCGGCAGCGCATGAATCATCGGGCAAACCGCGCATTCACAAGCCGATGTGATGCTTGACTTCCCGCGGTAGTCTTGCATATGAGGATGGCTGGGGATCACCTTGACCTCGTCGAACATAACCTCTAGACTCTAGACCGCATCTACACTTGCACAATTCAGCCATGAACCCCTTGAAGCCAATTACGGTCAATCCCCAAAAGTTCTTTCCGGGGCGCGAGGATGGAGCGACGCTGCCGTTCCAGCTCGATAATGATGGGGCGCAGTCGTCCTATCACGTCCTGCGACTTTTTGGGGAGTTCACAGAGGTGCCGAGCTCCCATGCTCAGCGCTCTTGCCGTTGTTGTTGCTGTTGCTGATGGTGGTGTTGTTGCTGCTATTGTTATTACCACTGCTGCTACTACTACTACTACTACTACTACTACTACTACGACTACTACTACTACTACCACTACTACTGCTTCTGACACTCGTCCTCCTCCTCCTGCCGCCGTTGCTGCTGCTGCTGCTGCTGCTGCTGCATTTGCTGCTGCTGAACTGATACTACTGCTACGACAGCTACTGCTACTGCCAATACTCATCACTACTGCTACTGTACTACTACGACTACGACGACGACTACTACTACTTAATTACTGCTCATTGCTGCTGCTACTACTACTACTACTACTACTACTACTACTACTACTACTTCTACTACTATTCCTACCACCACAACCACCACCGCCACCACCACCACTGCGATTCAATTACTGGTACTAGTAACTAGGGCTACTACGACTAGTAGTACTACTCCTACTACCACCACTAGTACTTATGCTGCTGCCGCTGCTGCTGCTACAACTACCACCACCTCGAAGATAATTATGCTTGATGAAATGTCGTGCTGGTGATTTTAACTGTGAGTACCATGAGCTCGAGCATTCAGGGTATTGTTGTGGATATGGCAGCGATTTGCGATTGTCGGTGTTGTGCATATAAGGCACATTCATCGCACAGCTCTGGTAGAAGACTTTGCTGCATCAGTTACAGTTTGTAAGGATTTGACACATGAGAGTTTATGCTGGCCCTCCCCGTGTGGCCTTTCAGTGTTGGGTCATAGGGTGGTATAGACTCTCTCTATCTATATATACATATACATATTTATATCTATGTTAATATGTATTTCTATATACACATCACAAGGGCTTGTATACTTGCTGCCAGCAGTGATGTTGTATGAATTTAGACTTTCCAACAACGACATCTCGACATGATGACGGGAAAGCGCTCATCACACACAAAACAACCGTGGCACATCACAATACGAGCGCAAGCAAACACACAGCAAATCCTTGTACGATTCGCCGTTTGGGTAGCGGAAGTTGAGCTTGTCTCGTTCCCGAGCACCCCAAAGATCTGGGTAGTCTTGCTGTATCCTCGGTGCAATGATTTCAAGTCAAACTTAGGGTGCAAAGCTTCTACAGCCGATGACACCTGGCGATCTCAAGCTGATCCTGGATTCATGCTGCAGGTTTCACAATGCTTCACAGCTGCTTCAGCCGTGCTTGGCTGGCAGGAGGGCTGAAAAAAACCAGAGTCTACATTCGCAGACTCACACGGGTGTCAATGGCGGTCCGTCTTAGTCACAGAAAAGAAACCGGGTGGCTAAGTCCATTCTTGCGCCAAGCATCTCTGCATAGCTCAGGCCGTTGCAAACACCGCCATCCAGCTCATTCAAAAGGGAAGTGCTCATAGCCTGCACCGGCCGTTCGACACAAGCCCGTCACCAATTTTCGGGCCTGACTAGCGACTTTGAAGTCGAGAGTTCGCTCTCAGAAACCCCGCACATTGATCCTGTGAGCCATTAACCCGCAATCTAAACCACTCAGAGATGTGTCTTGGCCTCCGAGTATTTGCATCCAGTCCGAATCTTTCCGTTACGTCTTGATTGGTGAGAGCTGCGTAACATTTAAGTAGCCCGAAAAAGCGGAACTAACAATGAGAAGAGGTACTGGGAGTTGAGGGCGACGAGGCCATACTATTACTAATACCTCAAGTCCCCGCCAAAAAAAATCGCGCAGGCCAACCTGGAAGCCCTTGCAGTGCAGGGCGCCTCCTCTCAAAGCTACAGTCCACAAAAAGCCAGTGAAGGGACTACAAAGGGACCCTTCAAGCACCAATAACTCAGGATTAGGGCTTATAGGGTTGGGGTTAAGGGATCAGTCTGGTAGTAGTAGTGCTGTAGGGTTGGAGTAGAACTGTATCAAACATCAGTATACAGCTATAAGGCAAGAAGCCGATCGTCGAGTTCTGGACAAGACCGAACAAAGAAAGGGCATACGAGTGTTTCAACTAGCAAGTCACTGCCGCTAGACTATATATGTAGCATGAGGCTGGGGCGAGTAAAGAAAACGTTGGCTGGTGCGTCGTGAGTAAAGTTTGGAAATGCTTTCGTGGCTGACACGCTCCACGTCAATCGGCTCACGAAAACGATGCCTGTTTTGCTGTGACGTGTCCAACTGACCGCTACCACTGACAGTAATCTGTGGCGGGATTACCATTGCTTCTGCTGATCCTCAGTTCTCGATCACTAGCACGAGCATTACGACGTTGACGACCATACTACCGATACTGCAGCTAGGCAAGCATCCGGCCCCCAGCTTGATATCAAGTCGAAAGCCGGTAACCTGGTAGCCAGCGGAAGAAGAGAGGCAGACTCGTAATCAGACTCAAGGGTCGAAGCCTCCAACAGCCGAGGACTTAAACTCACCCCAAAAATAAACGGAAACCCAAACGACCACACCCTGAAGGCCCCCGCCTCCGGAAGAAAGCCCACCACGAAACCCCGTCCCCCTAAAAGCGCATCAAAGGCGTTCGTGGCTCCTGGCGTGAACTCCCCGTTGAGGTCGGAGGTCAGGTTCGGGCTCGAGCCTCGCATCATCATCGCCTGCCTTAGAGACACCCCTCGAAGGTCTCAATACTGTAGGGGCCTTAATAATTCAATTAGGATTTTGGGGCTCGTATAATACAAATACAATGAGACCCCTATAGTAGGGGTTCGGGCTCGGGACTCTATTAAATTTGTGGGGTGCATGACTCAATGACAACCGATGGAGACGTTGCATAATGTCGGCAAACCCTAAACCCTGATCCATGAAGGGCTTTGTGTCCCTGGATCCTCAATCTAAATTCTAGTAGGATCTCAGCAACCAGACACGGACATCACTCCTGGAACGAAAGCCCACGGCCCGGGACCATCGTCCACGTCCCAAGTAAGGTTGGCCATGGAACAGCGTGGAGTAGTGGACAGGAGCAGTGCCCATTAGCACCAAAATGTCACCGCTGGTCTCCACCTGTCCAGCCTGGCGACGACATCCAAATCATTGCAAGCCATCCTCGAAGCTCTACTTTGAGGGAGCTTGGGGCCCCTGCTCTGACACAGCTTCCCCATCTCAGATGGCGGCCAACGGCGGATGGTGGATGCAAGCAGTGTTTCGAGTTCTTCTACATGAAGCATGAAGGCACTTCTCAGGGGAACATCTCCGGCGGATCCGATGTCCTTCAAGCTCCCATATGCCTTCACACGGCATGCGACTGTGTTATATGATAATATAGCTACTTCGCAAGTCACCGATAGCCGGCCTCTTCCATCTCACGGCGGCACTTGCGCAAGAACGCTGACAACTCTCCTGCAGAATCAACGCTGCGAATGCACGGGAACGGGCGGGGCTGTTGCATTCCGAATTTGCTTCAGCTGCCAGTGATTCATGGCTGGAAACAAACAGAGTAGCGTGGTTCTGCGAATGAAACCTGAATAATAATACACAGCCCCTCTTCGATGACGAGCAGACTGTAAATGGAGATGTTCACGATTTCATGTCCAAACCCATATGAATCTGAGCAGGGGCTGCAATGCACTAAGCCCTGTATCCCATCAGCCAAGCCCTAAAGCCCCTAAACTGCCCTAAACCCTCTGATCTACATGACTTGCAAGGCTTGCACGGGAGCGAATTCCGAGCCTCCTACAAGTACCATCGGCTCCCAGCCGAGTTTTGATCTGATTTTGGAAGCCTTTAGTGACTTCTGTTGGGGGGGGGAGGGAAGGGTGAGGGGGGGTTTTCAGAGTCTAGGACTCTCCACTATGGGCTCTTAGACCCTAAAGATCCCCACTAGGACCCTATTAAGGGTAGATTAAGGTACCCATAAGGTCTAATGGCCCATAGTGGCTAGGACCAGCTCAGCCTTAGAGTGTGTCCTGGCCCCTAAACCTTCCCTTGTGAATCCAAACCTCGACTGCAAAGAAGCGAAAGTACCCATAGGCTCCATAGTAGTTCCTTTTGGGGATTACCTTATAGGATTCTATATATGAGCCCCAAAAAGGAACTACTTTCGAGCCTCTAGGTAGGTACTCAGTCGACCGCCAAGTCAACGCCCTCCTACACACAGGCAAAAACAGCGCCCTGAACCCTTAAGCGCCAACAAACTCCAGGCATGCGGCTGCAGTAGTTGCGACCATTTTTCGTAAGTTCTCCGCGATGGCTTCCGAGGATGCCTCCGAATACTTGCCAGGGTAATGCAGGGGCCAGCCTTAATAATTAGAACAGCGTTTGAGGTTCCTTTGTAGTATGCTTAGGAAAGGGAACCCCAGGAATAGTATTTGTAATTATTTCTCTCTTCTAGATAGTACGGGATGCAGCAGGTTCAGGGTTTTGGCATCGGGATTCAGAGGACTCCGCCCCTCTTTCCACCCTATGAAAAGTAGGCTCCTTGCATGCCCACCCCCACTGCCTCAAGCCCCAGAGAGGGCTTCTGGCGAGGTTCAGGGTTCAGGGTTCAGCCCACAGCTAAGCTCAAAGTCTCAGAAACTTTCGGCTTGCGAAATCGCATGTTTAGACGGTGCAAGGCCAGGCCGGGAGGACATGGAACAACGCAACCCTACACTCTTTGAAGCTGGACTTGCTGACTGCCGAGCAAAAGGGAAGGAAACCTTTTGCCTTCTAATGTGGGGCTGAAGTCTGAGGGTTGAGGGTTTCGGGGGTTCAGTCTTGAGGGGCTTTGGCGTGGTGACCTTGCAGTATGGACGTGGAGTGACCTAAATGTACTCTGCTAGCGCGAGAACGTGTAGGCAGAGGGCACGACCACTGATTTCAAACAGCAGCAGCGTCAAATTATGGCGGGGGCAAGGGTTTGCTGACAACCTCCTTCCGCCCACTTTGGATGCCCACACCGCGCGAGGCTCACGTACTCAGCGACCGTTTACAAGCCCAGAGAGCCAAACTTCAACTACCCTTTCATTAAGAAATATAGGTTAAATCATCATATGAGCCGCCTTATAGTTTAAGTTTAAGGCCTATTCCTTGATTAAGCGGTAGTGGGCTCTCTAGGAGACCATGGCATTGAAGGGCTCGGGTCGACCGAACTATGACGACTGTCGACTGCTGCTTCACACTCAAGGTAGCTCAAAAACAGCTGTCGTACGTTTCGTAGGCTATTTATTGTAACCTCAAATATATCGGGATCGAAGACAAATCACTAGCTTATCCGTGATGCTTCGCCTGACAGTTGATCTTCACTCTCTGCGTGGCGTGTTAGCCAGATGCAGCGTGGGCTGATGTGGATGTTCGACAGGAAGAAGCCGATCCTCGGGATGTGGCGACGCGATCTCTCTGAAGCGCAGTAGTAGTCGTCGTAGTCACAGTTCTTCACTAGCAGTCGACATAGCTGTAGCAGTAGTAACATTGGTAGTAGTGGCAGCAGTAGGCGGCTGAGGCAGTAGTGGTAGTAGTTGTTGTAGTAGTAGATGATGATGTAGGAGTAGGAAGTACAGTAGTGTAGTAGCGGCACGGGTACTTTCACCAAAATTATCACCAAAATCATTATGGTCACCATTCGTACCGTACCGGTTGATGGTGGTCGTGGCGGCGGCTCTGGTTTGTGTGGTTGATGTTTGTTGTTTGTCTGCATGTGTGGTAGTAGTTGTTGTTGCTGCTGCTGTTGGTTCCGGTGGTGGCGGCAGTGGCGGTGGTGGTGCTGCTAGTGTTGTTGTCGCAGTCGTCGTTGTTGTGGTTGTTGCTGTTGCTGGTGGTGCTGGTGATGTCGTAACTGTTGTTGCTACTTTCTTATTTGCTGACCTTTTCTGGTGATGATACATGCTCACAGTGATACTACTGCTTGGTTTCTGCCGCTGCTGTTGAAGCTGCTTGCTATTTTTCGCATTGGCAATAGCAATAACCTCACTGTTGACGTTGAGTCGCGAGAGCTGCTGCCATCTTGCAGTCGTTGCCGTCGAAACAATAGCATAAGCAGCGCAAGTCTAAGAATTGCACCAGTGCTGTATTCAAAGGCACAAGCAGTGGTGCGAGTGGTATGCTGAGGCTCTACTCGTGCTCCTATCGCGAGTGGAAAGGAACATTGATTAGTGAGCAGGTGGTGTAGGAAGGCATACTGAATGAATCTTCGAAGGCCATGCTTGTGACAACTCGAAACAAGAGCCCCGACAGGCTAGCGCTCCAGATCAGCCCGCTAACAGTACTCAAAAGCGAATAATTTTGCCAACATGTGGGAGCTTCCGAAATAGGGGACCCTTAATACAGTATCCGAAATAGTAGGATCCGTACTATCAGGACCCCAAATAGGTACCCCCAATTTCCGGAAACTCCGATGTCGTGGCAGCCTTCAGCCTCTGCCGTTAGAAGCCGAAGGTCTGACTCATCAAATATCCAGAGCAATGGTGCATCTCCACCTAGCAAGTTCCGGACGTGTTATCGGTTTAGGGTTCAGGGTTTAGGGCTGTTATCCCTTAATGATCCAGCAAGAGACACTTCGTTGTTCGATGATGCATGCTTGGTACGTCAAATTACATCGCGCATGTCATCACCTGTCGTGCAGGATAGGTGGGCTGGGAAATGTCTGAGGGACCTTCTGGCCAACATTGAAGAGCTTGATGTAGCAGATCTCCCCTCCGTCTTCCGTGTCCGCCACTGTCTGATACCTGGTCTCATACTCCTGGAGCTGCTGCAGAGATGGCTCAGTTAGGTCTGAATCAGTCGCAAGGACAGCATCAACAAGCAGATGCAAAATCATTAGTGTCGGCTCGCCGTCCTTCACTCTCTGGATGAAGTCTGCACGCGCCTTCGCAGGGTCCATCGTCCTGCAGAGAGACGTGCACGGCTAACTGCTGACCGGGATCAGACTACGACAGGGTGGGAAATGTGGTAGTCAAGCAAGGCATGTTGTGGTCGCACTGTGCACCGATCACTGATGTACGACGACTGTCTTGGTGCCCATGCTGGCGGCAACCGGCCATGATGGTGGCATGTACTGCTCCATGTTTGCACGCACACAAGCAGATAGATAGATAGACAGATAGATATTTAGAGCGACAGGTGCAGATTGGTACAAAGATAGACAGACAAAGAGATAATATGCACACACGTGCGCAAACGAATCTAGGTAATTATCCACTTGTGTATGCGGAGTGCAGAGGCGGATTTCTGTCCCCATCTTGACCCTGGCCTGCAACATCTTCGTTGACAGCTCTCTTCACACTTAGCCATAAATGCGGAAGCCAACGGAAAGCTTGTCATAGAAACAATATTAATATAGGCGCCTAAAAAATTAACAAAACTATTTTGGGTGTTCCTTATTTTGCTTATATACCTATAGTCTCCATTGTAGTTCCTTTTTGGGGTTGCCTATTAGGATCCTTAATATAGATTGGTTAAACCAAAAAAAGGAACTACAATGTAGACTATAGGTAGTATAATGGGCCCCAAAACCCTATTCTACTTAAAAAGGCCCCTCTAGTAGAAGACTCGAAGTCAGTTTTTGCCCGGGTGGAGGAGGCAGGGCCCAGGTACGCAAGAAATTTAGGGACCCGAAGATGGCACCCTAATTAAATAGTAAGATTCATATTTTAAGGGCCCAAAACAAGGTACTCCCTGCTTTCGGAAACTCCCATATGACAGTCTATAAGCAAATACCTTGCATGACCCAGCTGTGCGTGGTTGCTTCGGATCTTCTGGCGCAGACGCATGTCGCCCGGGACGCCTGTAGTCGTCGTTCGCCAACTTGAGCGAATAGTTTCGTTCCAGAATTTCCTGCGCAAGTTCGTGAATGACAGATACGAGCAGTGAGATAGCCAGGAGCTTCGCCAATGAGAAGGCAATGCGAACATGGTGACTATAACGACTTACACCATTCCATCACGCAAAAACTGCGAGGGCAGCAAAAGCAGCATTCTTGCTAGAAAAGCTCCAACTCTAGCCTTATCACTTGCTCTGCCGCGAAAATCAGCAGCAGCAGCAGGAAATGTGCAAAACCATCGGCAACACCTGTCCTTGTTGTCGCAGATGCTCTCGACAAACACCTGAGCCACAGTGACGTGCTTCGAAAGGGGCTCTGATTCAATCTCCAACCGACACTGGAGCTTAGGAATGAAGCACTGCCTTTGATCACCCAGGGGCTGCTGTGATGCCCGTAACTTGTCGGCATCGGTCGATGAGGCGCTGTCGCCGTCTGACAAAGCTTTGCTTTGGGGCATAAATAGCTCTGCAACTTGCCGGGAACCGTCCGGAAGGCATCCATACGGCGAGTCAAGGTACGAACAACGCCCTCTGTCTGCGAAACTCGTCTTAAGAGACACTTTTGGCAGGTCTAGAGCGTTACTCGCTGTTTAGGCTTTGCAAGGGCCATCGGGAACCATGGGAACCCTGGGCCAAACTGCTTGGGCCTCTTGGGCGGCTTGTGGGTCAAGCAAAAACTATTAATATTTTTTGTTTTGAGGATCTATCTACGCGGGACATCATACCCTAGAAAGGCTGCCTATAGGGGTTTAGCCGAGTTGTGACTGTGATGACTCCATCGGAAGCAGCAGCGGGCTGCCGTGGAAAGCGTTTGGGGTTATAAAACCCTGCGGCCAGCCTTTTCGTCGTGTTCGTTGCATCGAAAATGGCGACACACACCTCAAAGATTGCAAGCTTCATGTCATGTGCCGTGACGCAGCCAAGTACTGCGTTGCACCATCCCGTTTGCATCCGGTGCTAGTGAATATACAATATACAGGACATGAGACTGTCTTGTTCAGATGCTGCTCTCGCCAAGCCGGAACCCAGAGCGCCCAATACCCCTCAATTAAGGAATATACCTTAAATTACAAGGGAATTCAATGTATGATATAAGCTACAGGTACATTCCTTAATTAAGGGGTATTGGGCTCTCTGGGAAACATGAGCCGAAACTGACCAGCAGGTCTGAGAGTCGGTAGCACATGAGGCATGCAAGGGACGTACCAGCACAGGTGTGAAACAAACCACTTCACCCTTAGACACCCTTAAAGGATCCTTTTAATTAGGGTTCAGATATAAAACAAACCACCTCACCCTTAGACACCAATAAAGGATCCCGTTAATTAGGACCTTTGGATTCAGCTTATGGGATGCTTTCAAGGAGCCCGGAGGAACCCCTAAAGGAGCTTTCTCTGCAGCGAAGAATCACTCTTGTGCATACGTAGCCACTCGATCGCCTTCCATGCTCGAGCAGGCGAGAAAGGGATCTTGGAAGCAAGTTCAACACCAACCACAGTACTTAGTTGCCGAGTGCAGAAGCCCGAAAAGGTTTAAACTCCCAGTTTTAAGAAGGTTTCATTATCCCCAAAATTTACAGTTTATAAACTCAGCTACTAAAAGTATCCCGCAAGAGCGTAGGTTGTGTACAGGGTTGGAGACGCAGGCACGATGCGGTGAAAGCAATTGGGCTGTGCATTTAGTGAGGGCACAACCCTTCTCACTTTATCATCAAAACCTCCCAATCCCTTTTTGATTAAATGCATAGATCCCCTGAGCTCAAGAGCGGAAACCGACCTCCGCCATGCATGCATCGGCAATGGCCTGGAACATGCTTCGGCATCCGGGAGGGGCTGTGCTTCCCTCGGAGAGTCCCTCCACGCGGGTGTCGGGCGGAGGATTCATACTGTCATGTCTTCAGCTGCCTGAAGTCTCACCTTTCATGCTACACACTGCACACTCACAATCACCAGAAAGCAGGTCCACGAAGGGCTTGAGCCTAAGAGCCCGCGTTATTAGAATCTTTGAAGGAAGTCTTTCGTGCCACTGGGGTCCAATCCGGGAAAGGCTCGCCGCTATAGCCCAAGCATCGGCAAGGCATCCAACCCCAAAATCATGAAGTGAAGTGCTTTCGAGTTTAGCAGGCGGCGGCTTAATGCGTTGAGGTTTTAGTGGGCCTCGTAAACTTATTAAGGCCAGATCTAGGGGGGGTTCTGTACGACGGGAAAACCGAACCGCCCTACCCAGAGGCCCCATACAGTAGTAGTTCCGTTTTGGGCTTACCTTATAGGATTCTACTATGGGGCCTCTGGGCAAACTCTTCATGTCCCTGCCCAAACTGCGCCTCACGTCGCTTTGTTGCCTCCTCGGTGGAGCTGAAGAACTGCGCCGAGGCCCCAGCGTTCCCTGGGCAAATGCAGCAGAGTCGGGTTTGGGCATCTACCTAGAAGCTCCAAAGTAGTTCCTTTTTGGGGCTCATATATAGAAATCCTATAAGGTAATCCCAAAAAGGAACTACTCTGGAGCCTATGGGTAGTACATTAGGGGTTGGAATCGAGGCGAGCTCAGGGGAACTTTAACGGCTTATTCAGACAGATGAAGGCGATGGTTAGGACGCGTCTTCTGTCTATTTTTGTGGTTGCAAGTAATGAGCAACTAATATGACCTGAGTAATCTGCATAGCCGATACCGAAGGAACAACAAGGCCTGCAGCATCCTACATTAATGCACAAGCCATTCACAGTGAGGACTGCGGCTTAGCGGAATCTGTTGTAGACGGCTGCACCTCCTTGTCGGCGCAAGTTGCCCGCGTTGAAAGACTTGACGGGAAAGCCACTCCACCTTGCCATGCAGTCGCTTGGGGTTTCGGCTTGTGGTTTACGGATTCATCGTGTTGAACGATTGATGCGGCTGAGGGGTGAGAGATATTCATCTCCTGTGGCCAGGTTGACACAACAAACCTTTGCGAGCAAGTAAGGCGGAACGACGTCATGCTCTGCATCATGTGCGCGTCACAACCCTTCCAAGCTCTCCGGCATCAACACAGCCCGGAGAATCCAATAAAAAAACAACACAGGCACATTATGAGCTTCTGAGCCCCCGACGTCAAGTATCTCATCAGCATCTTGGTGATGTAAGACTTGCCACGGGCTGGCAAGCCCACCATGCAAAGGAGAACGCGGCTCGACTGGCTATACCTGCTGCCATCAAGGGTTTCTCTTGGAAAGTATGCAACGGATAGGGCCAACAGTTTCCATGAAGATGGTATTCGCGTAGTCCTGACAGTGATGGTGATGAAGACCGCTCACACTGCACAATCACCAGCGAAAGCATTTTAGCCCTCGTCCACATGACAGTCCTGTCCCATGGTCCGACATTGTCATTAGCTTTTTTCTCACCATCACCGTCATAATCATCATCACCAGCAACAGCAACGAAAATGACGACAAAGACAGCAAATACAGCAACAACGCAAGCACGGCACAAACAACGACAGCACCAGTAGCAGCAGTAGCAGCAACACCAACAAGAAACAAAAAACACTAGAACCAATTCCGGGGTTCCACTGCGGCCAGAGTCTTCGTACTAATTTCAATCGGGTTCCTCTTTATTAACTGCATACTCAGATTCAGCCATGTATGGTATTTAACCCGGACTCAGTTCAAAACCACCGCCAGCTGACAGAAGCAACAACACTACAAGCTCAAAGATTACAATAACCATCACCACCCACCGCCAGTGTCATCACCGGAATGATCACCACCGCCACCGGAATGACCCTTCATCGCCATCGCCATCAGGATAATCATATACGTACCCATCTTGACGATGCCAATCTTGACCCTCATCGTCATACATCCGTGCTTCACCGGCGTTGGCAACACGATCTTGGTCGTCGCCATCGTCGTCGTCAACACCCTTTCCCGATCTTCCTGACCGTGATGCTCACTCGCTCGTGGCCGCTTGAGGAAACTAGGGATGCTCACAACTTACATAAACAAGCCTGACAAGTAGGATCCCTACAAGGACCCCTGAATAAGTAGCACCTAACATCATGAAGCCCATGTGCTCGACACGCGCCAAACCGTAAAAAGCCCTGCAACCCAAAAGCCCCGGGCCCTTTTCACCAAGATGCCCTCCGAGACCGTAGACGGTGCCGAGCTCACCATCGGAGGAGTACGAGGAGACGCTTGTGTCCTGCTTTTCTGTACTGTTAGGGTTTAGGGCTTTCCCTCCTACCTAGCAAGGACGAAGCCCGCATCGCAGGGTAGGGTTTAGGGTTTAGGGGGTTTGGGGGTTTAAGCTCTCGCAACTCGGACAAGCCAGACGAGGTCTCTCGGGTAAAGTCGGAGTACAAGGTGAGCTCGAGTTAGGTGCACGGAACACAAAACAACAGAAGTCAGGGCCACAAAGTACACCCAACTCGAGCCGGAGGATTCGCTGGGGTTAATGGGAGGTTCCGAAAACAGGGGACCCTAATATAGTACCCTGGATAGGAGGATCCTCATTGAGGACCCCAAGATAAGGTACCCCTAATTTTCGGAAACTCCCATTCATATTCTAGGGCTTGCACACGGACAGGTGCAGGCAAGGTCTGCAGACGAAGCTGACTGCTACAGGACAGATCGACAAAGCACACCGATGCCAGGATCTCAGAAGCGGGACTGTACGTCATAGGACCGTCATAGTGTTACACGAATTTGCTTCAATCATCAATGTGCTGGCAGCTACACACCCACACTCCAACCAACAATCATGGTGCGTTCATGAACCTAATTATATTGAAACTGAAACAGTCTTGGGGCTTGATGCTGCGGTATAAAAAAATTAGGAACGAAGCTGCCAAGAGGGTTTCGAATGCCATAGTCAGCTTACGATTCTGGTAAAGTGTATAAGGATACTACAATGGTTATATGGGTACTATGTCGGGGCTCAAGAATGCAGCACACCGCAGTCTCACAGGAATGCGTAATATTAGCGGAGGGTCCCCATCACGCAGCCGCCCGTTGCCGCGGAACTGAGATCTCACTTCTGCAGTTCATCCGACCCATCATGCTGTTCCCTACTGGGAGGTCTCTTGGGAGTTCTGCACGTACGGTGTTTGCAGGGGTGGCGGCAATCTGCCGTTACTGAATGCGTTCTGTCACACTTCGAAGCTGAAAAGAACTTGAGACAGAAGCTCAGTGTCAACACGTTATAATCCTTCAATCAGCAAGGAGCTTGCAAATTTGTTGGTGGTATTCTCTTGGGATTGCAGCTTACGCAATAGATGCGAATCAGACTCGAAATCAGAGCCCAACTCTGAAAAGACAACTGCTAAATAATTGCGGCCGTTGCGGCTACATACATACATAAACACGTACATACATACACACATACTGAGTGTGTATATATATATATATATTACTATATTATATATCACTCATTGCATAGATAAATGCTATATATGTATAGCCCTGCTACCGTTGAGGCTTTGGGGCTGTGAGAGTTCAAGGTTTACGCTGCGTGATTTACTATATCCGTTTCAACCATCGGCAACCAAAATCCGAAGTTTCGAGAACCCAGGCATGCTGAATACTGACCTTCAAGGGTTTCTGGCCTGCAAACCAAGCAATGCAGCTGAGAGGCATCAGGTTACAGTTATGCACCGAAATATGTCTGTAAAGTATCTCCAGCTAAACATGCAAAGAGAACCCTGGTAGAGTTTTCGCACATAAATACTTCTACTTTTCTACCAAATAAATCCCAACGAAGTAGATCACATAAATGCTGAAACGCACAGTGAACCATTTCATGGCATCAAACGCACAAGCAACTCCACAATTTGACCTGAGTTTACTGGTTCAAGCTATGAGAGAAAAGCCCAGCAGCCGTCGGTGACCTTGGCGGCGAGCCTGCGTTGATGCTAAGTTTAGTCTTTACTCTAGGACTTGTGGTGCAGCAACATTACCACTGCGTTCCAGATAAGCACAATGCAACAAGTACCGCGAAAAACTTGTCCTCTTTCAGACAAGAGTTGCGCCAGGCACAATTCCGAGAGAACACGGCATCACCATCGTTTTATGATCCGGGTCACCATCATTGTCATCAGCCATACTGCCAAGCCTGGATGGCACTAGCAATGACAAATCACGAACCCAGCCTGTCTGGCCTTTGCTCTCATCCTGGGGCTTTGGGTTGAGGAACCCCTAGGCCCTAGACCTCCAGTTACCTAAATGGTCGGTTACTGGGGTTACTGGGGTACATAATATATGGTCAGTAACCTACTATCGGTTAAGTACCTATAACTAGTAGGTTACTGGGGTACATAATATATGGTTAGTAACCTACTATTTGGGCAACTGGAGCCCTAGGGAACCCTAGCAGGTTGCTTTACGTACTCCCCGGACATGCACGCAGCTCACGGTCTCAAGCTCACGAAGCCCTCTCGGAACCTCCAGTCACTTGCCGGGCAAAGTGGATCCCCTCCTGCACAGGCTAAAGTGCTTAATACAGGGGCCTTACTAATGAGAATAGGGCGAATAGTAGAATAGGGTTTTGGAATGTAATATACTGTAACTATAAAAAGGAGCTCCCCAAAATAGCATAGGTAATTTTTGATTACCTCTGGCAAGGCTGGACACCGGATCCGAGACAAGTAGGTCGGTCAAAACTGAAGGAAGGCTACATGACTGCGTCACAACCCCGACTGCAAGCTGTGCTACCAGAACAGCTGCATAGAGCTACAACCGCAACCACAACAAACAATACCACCACTGCCAATAACATTATCCTATTCCTTAGGTTCCTCCTCCTCCTCCTAGCAGTAGTAGTAGCAGTAGTAGCAGTAGCAGCAGCAGTAGTAGTAGTAGTAGTACTAGTGGTAGTAGTAGTAGTAGTAGTACTACTAGTCGTAGTAGTAGTAGTAGTAGTACTAGTCGTAGTAGTAGTAGTAGTAGCAGCAGTAGTAGTAGTGATAGTAGTAGTAGTAGTAGTAGTAGCAGTAGTAGTAGTAGTAGTAGTAGTCCTCGTCTGTGCGTCGAACTTTGGGAGCGGGCGGCGTAGGTGGGCGAGCCTTGCCCGAAGGCAGTGTGCCCCTTTCCACAATTTGTGAGCTGGTGGGGGACATTGCTCCAGGGTCCGTGGATATTTGCGAGGCCTTTCGCTTGAGAATCTCGTCCAGCTGACGCACAAGCTGCAGGAAGTGTGGGACTTGATCCGGACCCGGCAGATCCGCAAGAAGTGAGAAGTCCATAATTGCTAGAGTCTCGAGCCAAACTGATGCTACCATCCAGAGTGCAGGCTTAAAGAGCTGTGAGAAGCCGACAGAGCTCGCTTAGGGCTCCCATTGTTTTGTGGGACTGCTGGAACTTTGTTGAAAGAATCAGCGTAAGCTTGCCGTACGCTCCCAGCTGCAGGGTACGCATCCTTGCTGAGCTGAGAAGTGTGTCGGCTGTGCCGAATTCATGCGGCACTGTGTGCTTCTAGCCGGCTTAGCATGAATATGTCCAGGCACTCAAGACAGAACTAGTGCATCAGCTGTGCTGAAGGACTTGTGGCACTGTGTGCTGGACCTAGGCCAAACTCAGGGTCTGCCTCGAGCCTTTCGGGCCAATCCTCCTGGCGCCTTTCTTCCCAAGCGCTCGAAGTCGTTATAGGAGTCGAAGAGGGAGGCGAGTAAGGAGAGATGTGGCATCAGATCCGAGTAGATGGCCACCCTGAAGTCCAGGATGACATGCGTTTTGAGTTTGTTCGGCCTAGCGGAGCAGTGCACAATGTCCTGGGCCAGCTTGCTCTTGTCCGTGGTAATGTTGATCATGGAATCGACCACCTTCAGTAGCCGGCCATATTCCGTTTTGTCCACGTGCTGGGGGGGATTGCCCTTGGTGAGTTCATGTAGAAGGACGACGGACACGGCGTTCGAACAGGATCCCTCAGGGTGAGCTTCTCCTTGGCGTAACTGCTTCAAGCCACCTTGCCAAGATTTAACGGATGCCAGCAGAGCCTTCGAGAGGTGGCGGTGGTCCTGGGGCAGCTTGTAGACTAGAGACAGCTGATGCTGCAAGAGGCTCATCTGATCATCGTGCACCAGGAAGGCTTTGGTGAGCTCCTCAGGGCTTAGCGCTTGGATGGCGCCCGTTTGGGCACGGAGCTGAGAGCCCTGCTCGGACCCCTGGCCCACCCCAT